ATATTTTTATCATTTACTATTTATTTATATTTTTATCATTTACCAATAAAGTTAAGTATGTTGCAAACAATTCATTTTACTATTAGCTGAAATACTTTAATAACCACCCTCGTAACTACTTAAGTAATTACATGTATAGTAATTACTTTTATCTCCATCTATATTTTCTTTTCGCTGGCAGCGTTACCAACTTTCCCTATTGTTTAATAATAATATGAGATGTTGAAGACTTACCTCTGTTACCTCAGAGCTCGTTTTGAGCTGCTTCTTTGTCATTCCCCACGCGAAAATCCCGTCCTGTTGCTGCTCTGTGCTGTTTTGTGCCTGTTCCCAATTTGATTGCTCCATCGCGAGTTGAAGGTCCACAGCTTCCAGCTTGATGCTGTTTGCATCTTTGACTTGGAAAATGTTAAGCATTGTTTTTAGCTTTTATTGTGGTTGACTGGCATGGATTGCCCAAGCTCAGCATTTGTATTTATGCTCGTTTTAAACACATAACATACATACAAACATACTTACTCTGTAAATAGTAATTAGCTACTGCAGACTCGGGCATGCCAACTTGCTCAAAATTGAAGATACGTATGTATGCTAATAAGAGTGAATGGCAATGGAAATAATATGCGGTGTGCGCGCCAATGTTAAAATTCAAATTTGGTAAATTAAAAGCTGATATATGGAAAGTATATAAATTATTGATTATAGACTGCGATGTAAACTATGAATGCTGAATTCTTTATAATTACAGTTATTAGGAAGAATTTGCTTTACTAGAGACTAGAATAAATATAAAATTAAGACTAACTCCAGAATTAGGCACTGGCAACTGGGGTCTGCGGCTTGGCTAAGGAATAATAGAATTAATAATAATAATATAGTATAGCATAAAACTAATCATTTTATATATGCTTATGTAAAAAGATTCAATAAACTTTACGCTTATGAAGCAGATAAATAAAATAAATCTTAAATACCACATTAATAAAAAACCTTTAAACTCCTAAATATTTATTTCTCAAGTCCAGGACCTTTTCACATTCACAGAATATGCATTTATTACTAGTATAATATAATGATATAAAAACAATATATACTAGGTAAATAATACTATTTGTATAATACTTGTACTATTTCTTAAGACATTTCAAAACCTCCAGCTTTTTCAATTCTATTTCCTCCATTCGTTTGAAATGCTGCAGCATAGTATTCGTCTGCTCCGCCATTGTGGAACGCATTGCATCAAGGCTATCTGCGACGCGTGTCATTAATGCATTTTGAGCTCCACAGAGGTTCTCAAGACTGTCCGTATAACGACTGCGCCTGCGATTTCTGTCAGCAAGATCTGCATCTAAATCGGCCGAGTGCTTGCGTTTAATTTTATCCTTACCCGCACTAACATTAATTGTGGGTTTCGACTGCTCAACGCATATTGGGTTTTGTTGACCTGCTATTATATCGACAATTTCATAGGATCCGCACAGATCGGCTAGACTTTCGTCTTCAGTTCTAGATTGGGAACTACGACGCTCGAGTTTGACATTCGATATGTCGTCCTGTTCGCTAGGATAGCCAGAGGATTTGCCGCAACTAATAATTTCCACTTTATCGTAAAACCCACACAGATGGGCAATTGATTCCTCAGCAGGGTTTAGGACAACATGTTGATTTGGTTGGTTTTTGATTTGCAAAAGTTTCTTCTTTATGGATATTTTCCAATCAGACCAAACCTGTGAATTGAAATAGAGACTTACAAATATATATAAATTAATAATTAAATGTGAGGACTTTTTTCCATGAGGAAACATTCTTATAGGGAGGTCCTTCAGCGTTCAAATCATCTGCGAGACTACGCCATTTGCCATCCACAACAAAGCGTTCGCCTTTACCGAGTCCTTTGGCAATTTCCTGATGTTTGGTCATAAACTCTATTAATATATTGCTCTGTTCTCGATTTTTGTGTGTGCGCCTGTAATACAAAGCAATTGATTGTTAATCGTTGAGTAAAAACTTTAACTTACACCATGTTAGATTTTTTTTCAATTTTATTGTTTTTAGTGCTGCAAATGATCAATGGAAAAATATGTTGTTTACATTTTCACTTAATTATACAATTTGAACATAATAAATGTTAACTACCATACTATTATTATTAAAAATGTATTATTTCTTAAAAATTGAATGAATCAACTTAATATAATACAATTTTAATTTAATTTTTTTATGAACATAGTGATACTATTCTATTATTATAAGAAATGTATTACAGCCTACAAATTTTTGCTCGTTTTGCAGCACTATAAATGCTCCGTTTTTTTCGGCTGCCATTTTTAAGCTATTTGTGTAAGCAGCATGAAACTGACATTTATCGGAACTTAATTTAAATATAGAAAATATGTGCTTTTATAAAATCATATAAGTATATAATTCTAATTGAATTCAACAAATTGGCAATTTATAATGAAAAAATCCCTACACCAACTCAGGAAAACCAGGAAAATTCAAAATGCCGACAAAATTCAATTACCGCAAATTTGAATGAATAATTGAATCTAATAAGGGCATTAACGGAATGAATTATAATAAATAAACATAAATTGGACCTAAAATATGCCTATGCAGTTGATTCAAGTTCACTCACTTCTTTGGCAAATTCTGTCCATTGCGTTTCTTTTCGGACGACTTCTCTGCTTCCTCAAAGCTCTCATAATCCGTGCTCAAATCCTGCTCTATTTTGATGGGTCCAATGTAAATGTCCAGCGCCGTTGCTGCCAGTGGATCAGCCATTTGTTCTTCATCCCTCTGCGACAATAGCCCTCCGGTGTTGATTAAACTTGGCATTCTACGATTTTCACTTAACTCTTTTGGCGACTAACGAAAATTCAACTTTGCCGCTGACAATTGCGGTTCTGCAATTTCACGCTGGGTGTTAGCAGTTCCGATAGGTCAATTCTATTATCGATAACACAGTCAGCTGTGCCTGTAACAGAGGCAGATCAAGCAAAATGTTTAAATTCAGAATTCAAATATTTTAAATCATCTTCAAACGAACATTGTATATGAATAATTTATGACAACGTTAATAATTAATAATAAATATAGTTTAAATGCATTATAAATTAGTCTATATATTCTTTCTTTTCAAATTAAAAATAATAACGCTTGGGTATATTATTTACGTATACTTCCAATTGAAATATTATAGCCAATTATATAAGTTACGTTATAGACGGAAATCAGCCTAAAACTAACTACATCTTATGGATGTTATATATCCATAGCTAACATACAACGTATTATCAGTCAGTTCTTAAATTAAAGTAAATGGATACAAACATTTTCACAACTTAAACTAACTTGCATTTAAATATTTATTAGCCTATTGTTTATATGGACATTTGAGTTTCCTATAGCCATAGTTAGTCTTTTTTGCAGTTATCTTACAACTAATTAAATAAATGTATACTTTGCTCCTGTTTGGCCTTCTTCTGTTTTATCTCGAGCTCCAAGAGTTCAATGCGCAGTTTACGCTCTCTGGCCTCGTCTTCGAGTTTGCTACGCTTCTCATACATTTCCAGTTCGTGTTTTTCCTGCGCTCGCTCATTTTCGCATCTACAGAAATTTTGCCGTAGCTGCAACAGCTTTAATCTCTCCTCGTCCAGGGTACTTTTGGAATTAGGAACTTTGTCGGGTAGTTTGTTATTGAGAACTGGAGGCCGAACTGTATTGGCCGTATTACTGGTGGCCCACTTGGAACTCGTGCTGGTCAGATCGTCCTCCGATACGGTCATATCATTAGCCTGGAAGATGTTGAAAATATAGACATAGCTGTGCTGAATGCAATTTCAATTCGCTTACATCCAGATCTCCTGATACGAAATTATACATCATGTCGTCGTCCCCCTCAAAGCTCTGCTCATTTTCCAGCTGACCTGTTTAAAAGAATTTATTTTTTATTTGTTATTATTTCACTTTTTTTTTTTTTGTAATAACTACTCACATCCATCAGTCTCCAGGGCATTCTTTAGGCACAGCGCTGCATCTCCGATCATGGCAACAATTTTTTCCGAAACAGTTGAAACTATGGGCGTAACTGGTTCCCCACCGCCCATGCGCTGGCAGTGTGCTCGCTCCTTGGCCAGCTCCACTTTCGCTCTACGCTTCATATGCAGATATTTGTCCCTCAGTTGCCGCCATTCGCGGTTAACTCCAGTTTTCGCTACGAAACTGTTTGTGAGCTCTGCCCAGACTTCCTCCTTGTGCTTCCACGTAAATGCATCCGATTTCTTGTTGTTCAGCACATCGTTGCGCTCCTCGACAAGCTCTACCAGGGTTAGCTCCTCCTCCGGCGAGAAGTTTTTTCCACGTTTTTTAATTTTTTCACTGAATTTTTTAATTTATTCATTTAATGTTAGATCACGAATATTTTTTGTAGGATAAAGAATGCGCCTAACTGAAACTTTGTCCTCTTCACTAAACTCCTGATAGGTTTAACTTACTTCTTTGGCTCTGGCTGTTCGGATATTCGAATTTTCTTCGCCGGCGTCTCCAGCTCTGGCTCCTCGTTACTCTCATCGTCTGTGCTCGTGCCCTTTTCGATTTTGATCGGGCCGATTTCCAAATCACTTGCTACCATCGGATCATTTTTAGTCGCCAGATTCGGACTTGTCATTGCCTTAATAATACATAAATATATTTTTAATTGCGAGCACAAAACAAGCAAATCACAAATTCAATACTGCAATTTCTCTTTGGCTGTGAGAATTCGATAAGTTTTCGATAGAAAACAGCTGTTTCTTTTAAAATAACATTTCCAGATGAGTACAAATGTTAAATATTTCATAATTTTTAAAGTGAAACTAGCTGACACGGCAAACGTTGTTTTGCCATATCCATTATTTCTAGGGAATATTTTGTACTTAAATACAAAATAACTAATTTAGTAAATGTGTGTGTCGAAAGCGTTGTAAGCAACCGAAGTATGCTTTATTTATTACTAGATGCCAGCGCGAACTTCGTACTGCCTAACAGTCAAAGAATGTCGTGTTACCTTTTAGCTGAACTAATTTAGGTTTTCATAACAATAATACAAAATAATATTAATATAGATAGATATATAATGGCAATGTCACTTTACCACTAAGGCAGCACAAATACTTGAACCATTTCTTATTGCCGTTTTACGGGCTGCCTCTCTTTGAGAAGCACGAATTAAGGCCCTTCTTTGCTGGGTACTAATGCGGCGCCTTTCTCGGGCGATTTCTCGTTCTTCGTCAGATAATTGACTCGCGATATTCCGTTGCCTAATTGCATTACGGGTCCGCCGGGAAAGATTAGATTTTCTACGACGCGGCATTTTTATTAATAGTAATACTGAATAAGCCCTCGCACAAAACCACATAAAACAATCGAGACAACCTATGAAAAGACATTTACACTTTTGTTAAACTGTAGAATAAATCTTAACCTTAATAAATAATTTACACAAATTAATGTTTAAGACAAACAAATATAACAGTACCTACCAGAACTTTCGATATATTTTGCTTCTGAATATACGCGTAAAATTTTTCAATCTTTTTTAAAAAATACTCATAATAGTTTATTCATTCGTTCAAATGTGCATGTGACCGAAAACTGTCACTGTTATCAAGCCTACTGGGTAAATTCTCAATGAAAATTTGACAGCTCCGAAATTAAGGAACCTTTAGCGAAAATAACGCGTTTTTCAAGTATTCGTCAATTTTGTAGTATTTTTTAAGATATACTCTCCAAATCGGGGCGGAGACAAATCTAACAAATCAAAAACCATGAAAATTGGTCCATCAGATCTCGAGTTATAAGTGCTGTAACACATAACACGACTTTGTTTGAATTGAGATGATTATAGTTGCAACGTGCAACTATCAACTTAGCCTTTAATTTGAATGTGGAATAAAATGGTTGACCATTTGCAGCAGTATTTTTAACTATTACCGTTGCTCCAAAAGATGTCATTTGAAAACATGATTTTAATTTTCGAATTGACTGCAAGAACAGCAAAGAATATGGATCAGTGCCGGCTCCAGTATTCAACATCAGGCTCATATTTAAATGCTAGGCGAAGTAATGAATGTGATGTAAATGCTCTATTTACTTGTTGACGTTGTCGCTCAATTTGTCTACGTCTGTTGATTACGAATCTGCGCGCTTCTCTTCGTTGTAATCGTCTTTGCTGGTTTCGCTCATCTCGTTCCTCTTGCGATTGCGATGCACGTAACTGCACCATTCTCACACGGACATTTGCATTGCTATGTTGCCTTTCTTCATCTGATCTTTGTGCTCTGATATTTTGCATTCCTCTAGATTTGAGGGTTCGACGACTCAAATTAGCCCCCCTGCGTTTTCGTGGCATTGATGTCTGTTAATCAAACATAAATAAATAAAGTTGAAGAACTGTTTGATGATATGCAGTGACGTAATATTGTATTCGATTGCTCATTATTTGCCTTACCTTTTATACTAATAAAACGTGTATATTTATTAATTAATTAAATTAATTAATGTATTAATGATACTTCACTTATTAATACTAATAAAACACGTATATTTATTAATCACGTTCACGTTCACCGTGAGAGCATGGCCGAAAACTGTCACTGTTATCAAGCCTACTGGCAAATTCCCAATGACAAAAGCATTCCATGCTTCAGTGTACACACTGCGTTACTGGATGATATCGGTAGTTCGTTGCCTAAAGAAACAAAAAATTAATGGTGGCCCATACTTTAAACTTAGGGTCAAGCAAAATAGATGTTGGTCGATTCTCCGACGTACCTGACCTGCACACCAAATTTCGTGAGAATCGGTCGAACCGTTTCGGAGGAGTTTGGCAACAAACACCGTGACACGACAATTTTATATATAAGATAGTTTTATCGTAACTGTCTATCCATTATTTTTCTTGTAAAAGAATAATTGAATAATGCCTCAGGCAATTCTGGGACGGTCGACGACTAGATCAAGATTGGACGTCGCTACTTGAGTGCTCGCCAAACTTAACTTCAGCTGGCATAGCAGAGCCACTAACCACGTTTAAGTGTGTCTTTTAACAGTGGCCACTAACCAGAGAACACATAGACTAGACATGAAGTACTTACAATGCTTTGATGAGACCAGACAATTTTGTATTTGAGCCTTAAGCAGTACCACTGCTGTTTGGTCAGTGGCAGTACAAATAAAGCACGGCAAAATCAGCGCGCTGTGAGCGTTAGCACGAAATGAACAGATTCCCACTCCTCACTCTCTCTCTCTCCCTCCCTCTCTCTCTCTCTCTCTCTCTCTCTCTCTCTCTCTCTGAGGTCTCTCAAATAGCAGCACCGCACAAAAATTGCAAATTGTTCGCAGCGATTCAAGTTTTGGTTAGTGGCCCAAGCCGAAAATGTGACGTCACAACAGAGCTGTCAGCTAACATTAAAAGTAACAGAACTACTCTTTGCAGAACCTACTGAGTTCCTTTAACAGTGGCCGAATGCTACAACATTTCGTTGTGAGTGTCAAACAGCTGCGCTGCTTAGTGAATGTCTGAATCGGGTCAAGTGTACGTGGATTTTAGACAGACTTTCACGGCACAGCGACGCGACAAATAAATTACAAAATAACTAATATAAATAGTGTAAATAGTAAACGATAAACCATAGTAACTTAGGATATGAAATCAAACGTTTGAAACCAATTAAATTTAACTAAATAATATAGATTCATACATAGTATTGTAGAATACAATAAATGCGTCTGACTCAGAGCTGCTGATAAAACCAAGAGAAAAGAAAACGAAAAAGCAAGCATAACTAATTATTAATTATTGATAATGGCACCAACACGCAGGCCCAGCGATGGGTTATTGGCGCGCGTCAATTTTCCTCTCTACGCCGTCGATATGCTGACCAGCCGCCACATTCTGGTTGCCGGTGGAGGCGGCTCCAGCAAAACAGGCGTCGCGAATGGCTTCGTAAGTGTGTCGAATATGCTGAAATGGGTCAACATTGCAGCACAATGGGGACCATAAATATCGTGCGATTAATAATTAACAATAACTGCTAACATTTTGTTGGAATTTACTCTTGATAGGAAATCTATGAGCTTTATCACAATGGCAGCCATTTTTGTGCGGAAGAGGTGCTCCGCCATGAGACGGGCGCCAATGTGGTCATGAATTTCGCAGTGCGCAACAGCGGACGACGTGCCTATCTGTGTGCCGGCCAGGAGGCACATTGTCAAATGTATTATGTGCAGCCGCGTATCGAGTCCGAGGAGGATGGAGACAGGGATCGAAAGCCAGCGCCAGTGGAGCGCCCGCACGAGAATGGCGTGCGACAGCGTGGCGCTGCACACTCTGGCGTCGAGGCGCTACCCAATGGCCATAACAACAGACAACAGAACCAGAGCAGCGGTACCAGCAATCAGGAGCTGCTCGGCAAACTGCATCGGCTGCGCTTCGACATTCAGGCAGCGGATGTGGTGCAGACGGATTTCTTGAAGAGCGCCGAGCCGTTGCAGCGCGTGGTGCGCATCAGTGGCAATGGCCAGCTGATGGCAACCGGCGGCACCGATGGCCATCTGCGCATCTGGAGTTTTCCACAGATAAAGCTTATCAAGCAGCTGGCGGCACATACAAAAGAAATCGACGACCTGGACTTCAGTCCCGATTCCAAGTGCATTGTAAGCATTTCGAAGGATGCCCAGGGCATTGTGTGGGACCTGAGCACAGGCAAGCAGCATTACAAGCTGCAATGGCAAACGCCGGAGGGCGCTAAATACCTATTCAAGCGCTGTCGCTACGGCACTGTGGAGGCACACAAGGATAACTATCGGCTCTTCACCATAGCCAATCCGCTGGGCAAGGTGGGCAAGCAACGGGGCTATCTACAGCAATGGGATTGCACGAGCGGCCAATTGCGGGCAGCGGTGCCCATCGATGAGAGTTTAGCCTCGCTCGCTGTGCGGGACGATGGACGCTTTGTGGCCGTCGGCACCATGTTCTCCGGCAGCGTATCCATGTACATAGCCTTCAGTCTGCAGGTGAGTGGGCAATGTTTTTACCCAATTGAGGCACAGTAATTAATTGTCTGCCTATGACTTTTCAGCGTGTGCTGCACATTCCTCATGCTCACTCGATGTTTGTGACCGGGCTGCAGTTCCTGCCCATTACCAACGAGGAGGGTCCGCCCATATCGAGCGACACGGAAGCAGCCGTTCTATCCATCTCCGTCGACAATAAAGTGTGCATACACAGTCTGCAGCAGCGAAGTAAGCTAAACCTAACCCAATGTACTCGATATACTCATTCGTATCGCATTTTGCAGGCACGATTCCCGCCTGGCTGGCCATTGTCTTTATGATTGTGATGATCTTTGTGGTGTTCGTGTTCTGCTCCTACATTGGCATTTGAGACTGTCTGGACTGGTGGTCGACCAGCGAAATCAATTTGCATTATTAGTTGATAAACAATGTTTAGTTTTGTAATAGACCCCATGCCCCTGCCCCATCTCCTCCTCCTCTGAACACCCCACTGAATATTATTTTAAGTGTATAGTTGTTTTTTTGTGCCGGCTGCCTTATCTCTCGTACACTCCTCTCAAAGTCATTTTCGTTATTGTATCATAATTTTGCTTTAACTATCTCAAATTTGCCGTTGTAGTTAATATATATGTACACATATATATACATGTATGTATGTCAGAGTAATTAGCTTGCAAACGAATTAATATTTAACTATATAAAACAAATCAGGTGAATGCAGTTATATAGCAATAAATGGAATATTCATAACAAAATAATTTGTATATTTACTTACAAATAAATTTAATTGTTAACACATCCAATTGTCTCATTAATCATGAAAATAGGTTGTAAACATTGGTTGACCTCATTTTTAAATTATTTAAATATTACAGATGCCCGCGCAATTTACAAAGGCCATCCACATACATTGGCATTCATTCACAGGCATGTTAAAAGCCCTGCTCCAATTGACAGCCCGCATGTTAATTAGCAGACCGATATGGCTCGACTGTAAAATGATCATTGCCATTCACCAACATGTAGGAAGAGTGCTCCAATTGGCAGCCTTTTAGCCCTTTTGCTTTGTAGCTTGGATTACAAGTTTTAATTGATTTAATTCAGCTCGTCGTAGTGATTAAATTTTAAATGTTGTTATTAAATAAATGTTGGTTGCGTTCCTTTAGCAAATTTTTTAGATGCTTCATTCATATTTATTGTTCTACAACTTCTACAAGCGCGTCCGAATGAATTCCCTAAACTTTCCATAATTTGCAACATTGCCATTCTCCCAATTCGTTGACATGGTTACTCAAATTGGCGCGGTTAACTGTTATAATATATTTGGCGCTCTCTTCAAATAGATTTCAAATTTCCATATTTAATATTTACGCAATTTATTTTTTATTATTATTTCGCTTGCGCTTGTAATATTTCATGCTACAATTTATAACTATATGTATATTACTTAGCGTTTACAAAAAATTATTTATGGCGCACACTTTATATGCGTTTTTACATCGACTTTTCTTGTTTTTTTTTTCTTTGTTTGTTGTTTTTGTTGTTAATTTAATATATTGTTGTGTTAAATTTTAACTTAATTATGCTTGCTTGCTCTTTGCTTATCAGTTCAATATTCTCCGTATAGTAAAAAAGTGTATTGAATTTTTGTGATTTACATTTAAAGTGAATTTTGATGTTTCAAATATTTCTTTTTTTTTTTTTTTGTAATTTTGTTTTGTTTTCTCTTTGYTTGTATATAAAATATAAAATGCATATCAAATTGATTTAAATTTTGTTTGCTTGTTTGGATGATGTACTTAATCATAATATAAAGTGATTTTGATGGGCGCGCATTAGTTACATAATTATATAATTGCATTTATAAATATGTATGTTTAGAATTATTTATATGTATTGTATGTATGTAAATTAATTGTATTTAGTTGCTGTTGCTTTTGCTTTCGCTGCTGTTGCTTCTGCATTCGTGCCAATATGGCCTTAATTAGCATAAATAATTAATTGTATTCAATTATGAACGTAACTTATTATTGTTTTTCTTTTTCCTTTTCTTCACTTATCTCGTTTGTTTATGGTTGAATTTCATTGTTTCTCATTTGATTTGTAGAAAAAGAATTGCAATGCCAATTGCTGCAATTGTTGACTTAAAGAGAAAAACATAAATTTCGGAGAGAAACAAAAAACAAATATTTAACAAAATCCACACAGTTAAAAAGGATACAATGTAAACGTAATAGGATATCAATTTTTTTCTTCCTTTTCTTTTAGTTTAGTTTAAAAACATATTTCTTTCGTACTCTTCTTCTTTTGTATAATACTTTTGGCATTTCTCGCTGCTAATTAAAAAAAAAAAAGTTAAACTATGCAAAGCGTGCGTGCATGCATATTATTTTAAAGTAAAACTAATTTCAGTTAGAATTTGTTGAACAGTCTTTATGCTGATTGATWGCCGCTGCCACGCCCACTACGAGGCCTTGGCAAACTGGATGACGGAGCTCATGCGCATCACCTTGGAGCCAGCGGAGTTGCCTGTGCCACCATCAGCCCCACTCGCCGCTGATCCTGCCGATTCGTTGCCAGCTCCAGCTCCGCTCGCGCCACCTGCTGCTGCAGCTGCTGCGGCAGCACTGTTGGAGCAGCTGCCGCCCCCATTGTTGGCCTCGCCCTCATTCATGTAATGCTTCCGCTTGCGCAGCGGCAGCGTCATCACATTGCGATCGGCCATCATCAGGGAATCGCTTTCGGGGGAGGAGCTGCGCTCCGGCGACTCTGTGCTCGAACGCAGTCCAATGGCCGCCTCAACGCGACGCACTATATCCGGATTGGGCAGGGATGATCTGTGGGTGAGTAAAGGAACGATAATTAGTACCTATTGTTGAGGACGGGATTCGGGTTGACTTACTCATAGAGCGGCACCGGCACATAGCCCTTGTGCAGTCCATGGTTCACCAAATCGCCACGCTTGAAGTGCTCGATCAGCACATTCGCCTCGTGCGTGTCATCATAGTTGGCCGCCAGGTCGCTGACTAGTAAAGTGGGTTGCGATGCAACTGATGGCTGTGGGTGGGGCTGGTGCTGCGACTGCGACTGTGGCTGTGGCTGTGGCTGTGCTGTGGCCGCATGTCCACGTCGCAGCTGCATCATTTGCCAGGCAGCTTGCTGCACATCCTCATCGTTGTCAATGACCTCATCGTGATCGCGTCTCGCTATGCTCGCTGCTTCGAGCAGTGCTGGATTGATAGTCAGCCCAGCAGCTGCTGCTGCTGCTCCTGCTCCTGCTGCTGTTGGCTGCAGCTCGACTAAGCTGGACGTCGGCTGCGGCTGATAGTAGATCATTTGTGGCTGCTGCGCTGCTCCTGTTGCTGCCGTCGACTGTTGCATGCTCAAGTCCGTAGGCAAATCCTCCTCCGCATAGCTGGGCAGCAGCTGCGCGCTGGCTACGCCGCTGTCCCGACTCAGTGCATCCGTTGTGGCCATATACTGAGGCGGCGTGGAGGCCTGACTGCTGGCTGGCGAGTAGGTGGACGAGACGGAGCTGGGCGAGAGCGGCGCAGCAGCTGCTGCTGCTGCCACTGMAATGGACTTAGCGCCGCCACGTGACTGACGTGGCTTCTTGACTGCCGGCGGCGAGCTGGGCGGCGAATTGTTGCTGCACTCGGAATTGCTGGCTATGGACAATGGGGAGCCGCTGGCAACTGACGTTGATGCTGCAGCAGGTGAAGCCGCTGCTGCTGCTGCCGCTGCCGCTGCCGCCTCAACCTCATCCTCGGGCAGCTCGTTGGCGTGGCCCTTGATGTGCGCCTCCATCTCCTTCTTGTTCTTGAAGGTCTCGTCGCAAATGGTGCACTTGTAGCACTTGGCCCCATAGTGCTGGACGCGATGCAGCTTGAGCACATGGTTGTAGCCAAAGTCCCGGAAGCAGATGTCACAGTGGTAGGGCTTCTCGCCCGTGTGGGTGCGCGAGTGCACCTTCAGCTGCTTGGAGCAGGTGAATCCCTTGCCGCAGCCCGGCTCCGGGCACTTGTACGGCTTCTCGCCGGTGTGCGTGCGCATGTGGATGACCAGCTGGCCGGACTGAATGAACGTCTTCTCGCACACGGAACACTTGTGCGGCCGTTCGCCCGTATGGATGCGCATGTGGCGATGCAGCTTGCCGGAGTGCTCGAACGCCCGCTCGCACACCTCGCACTTGTACGGCCGCTCCTTCGTGTGGATGCGCCGATGCACCTGCAGATTCTCCTTCACACTGAACAGCTTGTGGCAGAACTCGCACTCGAACGGACGCTCGCCCGTGTGCGTTCTATAGTGGCGAATCTGTAGGAATAAGGAGTAGGGATTAGTGGCATATAAATGAAATTTGGAGAAATTTGTGTTTCCCATGGATCTACTATGCTGTTATTGGACAACTATAAGACGAGCAAAGAGATAAATTCTCTCCTAGTTCAAGTCAGTAAATAATTTGACGCATCAGACTGGAATCTGCGTGAATGAAAGGCTCAAAGACTAGGGAAATCTGCAAAAATGAAAATTTACAAACTATGCATATATAATTTTAAAAAAATTTAAAAAAAAAATAAGAAAATAAAGTCTGTCCTAAATTGCCACAGTTTTTCAATTTGTGAATTTTATTCAGCAGAGTGGAAAATGGAATAGAGGAGAACTGAAAAGCTAGGCGAAAGAATTAGAGAATTATCTAAAGGACTCGGAGGAGGTTTCAGGTGCGCTAAATAGAAATCCCAAAAAAAGAAAAAGAAGCGAAAAGACTCAAAATTGTATTTATTTAAAGCTCAATTTCAGAGTTGAACTCTGGATGAAATTGACATTTCTATTTGGATTAGCTGAAGCTGAACATAAAAATCTATTCTGAGATTGCAGAATTACCTGCAATGACTGCATCTCATGCATTTTCCACAAGTTTATGTGGATGACAGGATTACGATTACAGGAGTTACGAGTGTAAATCATCTATTGGAAAAAGGGACATCTCCTAAAGATCTATCTGCTATCAGCCAACTCATGTGGGATGAGGCTAACTAGTTATATGTATTTTCCCTAGTTATATTTTGCTCCTCTTCTATCCCCCTCTCCTTCCCTCTTCAACGCTCTCTCCAAGCCTCCCGCAACTTACCAATCGAGCTGGCACCGCGAACGTCTTTTGGCACACATTGCACTGATAGGGATCGGCGCCGGCGGCAACGTTGGGCAGCGGCTTGATGGTCGGACTCTTTGGTATGCCCAGCGGCAGGCCGGCCTCGTTCAGTTCGATGGGCGGCGTTGTGCCCGCGGAACTGGAACTGGAACTGGAACTCGTACTGCTGCCGCCCACACCCGACTTGAGGCCCATGGCAAGATCGGCGTTTTTCGCATGCGACTTCGTGTGGGACGTGTGGGCGGATTTGCTGCCAAAGGTCATGCCGCACTGTTCGCACTTGAATTGCGGCTTGTTGGGGTTCGGTTTGCGGGGCGTGGCAATTGTTGCTTTCGCCGAAGCAGCAACGTTTGCTGTTGTTGCTGTTGCTCCATAGACTGCTGGCAATTCTGTTTTGATGCGATGCAGTTGCTGTGTTGTTGTTGCATCTGCAACTGTTGTTGTTGTAATACTTTCATGTTGTTGCTGTTGTTGTTGCAGCACCAATTGATAGCTGGCAAGCTGTTGTTGTTGCTGCTGCTGTTGCTGTTGTTGCTGCTGCAATTGTCGCTGCTGAGGCGTCTGCAATAGCTCATAGTGCTCATGCTGGCCGCCAGGTGGCGCCACACCAATGCCACCACCGCCCGTCGCGGTGAGCGGCGTCTGCAGACAGAATTGCGTCTGACTGGGTTGCTCCGTTTTTATGAGCAGCTGATTAGCGGGATAGTAGACCATGTTGGTTGTGGATGAATCTGAAGATGAACAAGAAGAAGAAGAAGAAGAGACGATAAATTAGTGAGCATTCATTTCGTAAAAATAAAATAGAATATACACAAAATATATGTACATATACAAAATTAATTTTTAAATATAAACAAAAATAATAATCACACTGCAGCCCATGCGTGTTTATGCGTGGGTGCTTGTGTGTGTATGTGTTTGTGTATGTGTGTGTATGTGTTTGTGTATGTGTATGTATGTGTTTGTGTATGTGTGTGTGTATGTGAGTGTGTGTATGCGTTTGTGTCTGTATGCGTGTGTGTGTATGTATGCCTGTGTGTGCGTACGTGCGTGTGTGTGTGTATGTGTGTGCGTGTTTCTTGGGTAAGCTGAAAGACGTGAAAAATTATTGAAATATCTATTGCTCCAAGGGTTCAGGGGATCTCGTAGTCGAGCAGTCTCGACTAGAGCTTTTTTACTTGTTGGAGACATTCAATTTGAAGAGCAAATCTCAAGCTCTTCAGTGTTCAATGAACTTTGAATAGTCAATGCTAGGCATATGACAAGGGTTTTCACACTATCCAGATGGCTTAAGAGCTGTTTTGGATGTGTGCTGGAACCACCCTAGTTTTATTTTTTTGTTTTTTTGCTTTTGGGTCTTGACAACCTGCATTACGCATTTTCCTTGGAAGAAACAAAGCGCTGATGAGTAACAACGCAAAAGCCCAAAAGGTAGCCGCGTATACGAATATTTTGGTTTATTGGGTGGTTGGGAAAACCCATTAAAGGGTGGGGGAGCAGCTCCCTTAACAATGACATGGGAAAAACCCACCCTACGAACTGCGAACTACGCAATTTTCTGTTATTGCCGGCCTAAGTTTTCACGAAAAGAAAAAAGAAAACGCATAAGCTTGAGGGGTAAACAAAGCGGAAGGGGCGAGACTGAGAGAGAGAGAGTGAGCGAGAGTGTGTGTGAGGAAAATATAGATAGAACTACGCAATAGGGTGTTTCGTCAAATTTCCCTAAATTTGGGGGAAATTATTTTTTATTCTATTTTTGCATCTTGTAAAGCTCGGAAAACCGGCTTTTGGCAGCTCTCTTGATTTGTTATTTTGATAGAGCTTCCCCATCCTACGGCACGCGCCACACTTGCGTATACCAAAACAAAATGGCGCACGGCGAGTGGGAGCGCTGGGGGCGTTCAAAGTTTTTCCGGCTTCTTTCTTGAACGTTCCGTACTCTTTTACCTTTTGCATTTGTTTTCTTTTGCGTCGTTTTGGCTTTAGCTTTGGTAATATCCACCAAATCCGTTCCGGATTTATTTAGCACATCCTTAATCCAGTTCGGCTTGCCTGACCAAGTCTTTTTCTCATTGCTTCGTTCAGTCATTGTGAGTTTTATTTGTTTTTATTTTACTTTTTCAATATAAAATGTTGCAGTCTGTTTTAATTGATGTTACCAAAGTCCAAAGTTTCTTTTAAATGCAGTCCATATTTTTTTTTTTTAAATATATGTATATTTGTTTAAATTGGAGATCTTTTTGTCTTAATATTACAAAGTTCTTTCGGTTTTTTATTTGAGGTAGTTTAGCGTTAAATATTGCTTAATATTTAGATACACTTTTTACTTTAATTATTATTATTTTGGGATACTTTTGTCAGACTCTTTTTTCATCGATTTCTTTTGAGGTAGTTTAATTGCAAGTTCAGACTCTGTTTGCTTTTTGTGTAAATCAGTCCCGAGTTTTTTACATAAGTCTTAAGTTCTAGTCTTATTGGGCATAAAATATTTTATGTGATAACTTTACTGAATTTTTATTTTGTTTTTTTTTTTTAATTATTTTTTTATTGATCATTGGGTAAATAAATATTTTAATTTGCACTTTTCTCCGTTTTTCTTAAACAACGATTTTCATTTTGCGCGTAATTTTCGCCTTGATGACGTTTTTCTTTAAAATTTTGATAATTTTTTTCAGGTCTTTGGACTGTTGCCCTGTTGATGTTGGGGGCTGCTGCTGTTGTTGCTGCTGCGTTTGATGATGATGATGGTGGTGGTGGTGGTGGAGATGTTGGTGATGATGATGATGATGATTGTGTTGGGTTACCAAATGACTGCCTTGGCCAGAACACCGTTGCATGCGCATTTTTCTAAATGATCTGAGGATTTCATTCATTGAGAAATCAGTCATTTTCGAGCTCCACTCGTACACACGCACACGCACGCACACACATGAAACACAAACAGACGCACACACATACACACACACACGCACGCACACACACTGATTGATAGTTAGGGAAGTTGGAAACGTTGCGCAGTTGGTTCACATTGCCGCACGCGAAGTGGTTCGTTTGATGGTGCAGCGGAGACTGGTGGGTGAGTTGCCCAAAAAGTGTGTCGAGAACCCAAACTCCAGACCGAAAAGCAACCACCACCAACAACAGCAGCAACAGCATGAGTGAAACGTCCCATTGATCTGTGATGTTAAGAACAAATTTCCCAACAGTGCGCGGCGCGCATTCAATTGGAAAAGCGAGTTTTTTGAGTGGTTTCTAATTTGAGTGACGTTTGAAAGGGCAATTCCAATTGGTACATTTGAGGGGGAAAATTTGAGTGAAATTCTGCGCTTACTGAGCTAAACGCACCTAATTGGATATTTTGATTGGGTAATTATTTGAGCTATTTCCCATTTAAGCAACTGCATTAGCAATTGGGAAATTTCTTTCATTTTAGCAGGAAATTTGTAAATGAGCGGAATGTGAAGTACCGGGAAACTTGAGCGGGACATTTATTGGTTGGCATTCCTTATTGGATTTATGGGACTATGAATCGTGTTTGAGTACTTTCGAATTTAGAATATAAAACATAATATATCAGGTATGACTCATATCGAATGCGGAATCTAATCATATTGATAAAGAAAAATTCAACTGAATTTAATACATAGTACTCTACATAAATAGAGCATATATATATTTATGATATAGATAGTCACTAGCAATAATAAAGTTAAAATAGTAAGTTAATTGCAGGCAATATTATAAATGTATATTCATTGATTAGATTAGATCCTAGACTGGACGAACTGGAAACTGGGCCTAGCACAACAGCTCTGAAATAGTGTAGAGCACTTAGAAGATTCAATAGAGGGTGTGAGGGAAATGGGGTCAAAGAAGATCATGTCAGAGTTTTATTAAAAAATTTGCTATAAATAGCTGTAGCTATAAATCTGCTGATAATTAATATAAGCTAAAGGTTTCTAATCAATTATATATACATGTGTATATATATAGCAAAAATGTATATATGTATTTAAATATATTTGTATACAATGTGCACAAAATATATATAAAAACAACACAAAATATGAAAAGCGCTAAAAAGCATGAAAAATCCAATGTATAAAACTAAGAATATTCTTTTTTTCGTTTTTTAAAAGCAAGTTCAAGAAACTTTTTCAAGTTTTGTGTTGTTTGTTTGTGTGCATTAATGTGTTTGTGTTTGTGTTGGACTCTGCCTCACACAATTCGTAAACTGGCGCAAAAGTTCATTAACATTCGACACAAAAACTATTTTCGTGTGTCTGTTGAAACGAAAATTAAATACGTATGTATGTATCCGTATTTATCTCTCTCTCTCTTTCTCGCTCTGTCTCTTTGAAGGTAAACCCAAAAGCAACAACAAACATTTTGTCTTTTTATCTATTTATGAGGTTAAAAGCACTACGAGCGCACAATAAGAGCTCGGTCAATGATCGTCGAGATCTATTTGCCCTCCCCCTCTTCAATCACACTCTCTCACTCACGCTCTTTCTCTCTCTCTCTCTGTCGCTGGGAAATGCTAGATACACATGTTTCATATGAAATCAAGCTGTTTACCGTTATTTTGTTGGGATAGCTCAGAAATGGAGCGCGACGCTTTAAAACTGGTCTCGAAAAAAAGAAACAACAACAAAAGCGAGCGTGCGAGAGAGATAGAGAGAGCGTGATCAGTTTGTTGGATAGATCAGTAAAGCGAACAACAGTTAGTTGTAGGCAGCAAGAGATGCAGCAAAGGGAAAAGGTGGGGCGAACAGGGCGATCTAAAGAAAGCTGCACTCAGAACATTCGGAATGTGAGCTTTTATAAGTCTATAGATTAATACATATTTCTATAATAAAAATTCTATGTTTTAAAAAAATATACAAATACATAATTATTTT